TGGCACAATACCAAGGTAATAAGATAGATCTAGTTATTATCCATAAGGTACAACTATAATAACTCAGATATTAAAGATCAATATTTTCTGATATTAAAACAGGCCGCTGCTTATGAGATTAGAGCTGTAAAATCAAGTTTGCCAACAGAAAACTGAAATTGAAAGAAAACAAGTCAGGTCAAATATAGCAAACATCAAATAAAACATGTTACAAACTACAAATAGCTGTAGACACAAGAGGAATAGTTAATCTAGTGTACAAAGAAGGTTCTGTGGGGCTGGAGATCCCTCTCTGGTTATGAGCACTGGTCTTGCATAGGACACAGGTTCAGTTCTCAGCCTGTATGTCAGTCAGGGGATCCAATACTCTCCTCTTGACTCTGTGGCGCCTATGCACTCAGGATGCACATAAAAATAAATGAATAAATATTTTTAAATGAAAGTTACTGATTGTTTAAAATGAATGTTCCCTTCCTCTTTACATCTTTAGGCTATCCTGTGATCTATATTATTTTATCTTTAGGTATAGTATGTCTAGTGGACGTCATATAATAATACAGTATCAAATGCACAAGGTGAATGACCAGGGATTTCTCCCTTAATGGCTTTACCATCTATCTCCCCCTCTCTCTCGAGGTTCTGCCTTCCTGCCAACTCAGTCTCATCTCTATCAGCTCTTATGAATCAGCCTTCCCAGCAACATGGACCATGACACTGTCTTTGGCCTTCCCATGTAAAAATACGATGTTTGGCCAAAACCAGAAACAGTGGACGGAAGTTCCCAGAACAAAGGCTGCGCCAGTGGTGTTGAGGGTTCTACAGAGTTGACTGACAACAACTGTTCTAATTGTAAGCAATGCAAAGTTACATGTCCAGAGTGTGATTATCTTGAGTTATCTCTAATCAATCTCCTTAACAGCCATTTATCGTCTACCGCCGTGTTCGACCTAATCCTTGTAACTATCAGCTGACATCCCTTTTGGAATGTAGAAACAAACCCCTGGCTTCTACCAACCCAAAGGCAGAGACTGCCATCAGATAGCACCTGAGTCTTATAGCCAAGACTGTGCAACGTTGCTGAAGTCTACTGCCTGGTGTTCCCACCAATGCATTTTAGAAATACCTTGGTTTATGAATGTCTTTATTCTTTCACCTTAAAAACTTCATGAAATTGTTACCATTTTGAGTGACCCGAATCTGTTTCCAGGTCACTTGTATTTGAACCCAGAATAAACTGTCTTTTTCTCTTTGAGGTGAAAGCTGTGTTTTTGCTCCAATAGACTGTATCCAAGTTCCCTCCCATTTTAATATGGTGGAAGCTCTGAGTTCAAGTGCAGCTTGGTCTACAAAGAGAATTCCAGGTCAGCCAGGGCTACACAGTGAGTCCCTGTCTCAGGAAAATAACAGATTAAAACGGTTTGGGCTGCCAAATTCTGGCTTCACATATGACTATGCAGAATTTCCCATGTGCCTTCGGTTTTTACCCTCCACAATAAAGGGTAGCATGAAACCGCTGAGTTCTTGTTTTGTTTTGTTTTTGTGGTTAGTAAACAAACTTGGTGCAAAGAATTTCTTCTGAGTTGACAAAGCAATGCTCAGAATATAAGGTTAGAAGTCAACTGCTAGGAAGTAAAAAAAAAAAAAAATGCCATTTCGCTCTGTGCCACACAGGCCCTCCATTTTCATTACCGTTTACTCCAGGTTCTACAAAAGTCACAGTTCTCTGTTCTGTGTACCAATGCTTTGGGTTCCATTTAGCAATCAATGCCTTGTATGTCAGGTTTCAGACTGGTCTCCCAGATCCCTGACAAACAAAGTAGGCCAGTCCTGGCTAATGCAACCATCTTAGTTAGATCACTGGTGATTACCTATGTCCGAAACACCTGGACAGGCTCCAAGTCCTCACAGAAGTGAGCCTCAGACATGAATCATGACTTAATTCCTCATGACAGTGTCAGAAGAGCTGCACGTGTTCATACTGGGAAAGAAAGCAGACGTGTGACTTCCCTCTTGCTGCTTGTTGGAGGAAGTGAAATTGCTTTTCAGCCCCACAGATGCATACCTCCTGTAGAAGAATTGCTTCTCTCTGCTAGAGGTCAGAGTTCAGTGGTTAGTCTCAGCCCTTCACTCCCTCAGGGAAGCCATTTGGAGAGAACATGTTTACGTGCGTATTTCAGTACAAGAAAAAGCAAAGAAAATTGTTGGTAGGAGTAAAACAGGAAAAATAGAAGTGAGATACGGTAGTCAAATCTTTACCTGCCCATTCTGAGCCCCACTTTCCAGCCCTGGCATATAAATGAAGGTTGTGCCCTAAATTCTCATCATTTTCACTTCTCCTTTCATTGTTTCATTGTTCCAGCTGCAAAGAGAACCTCCTTGAGCAAAGGAATCATAAAATCCATGTGTTCAACCACCCGGCACATGAAAGCGCCAAAAGTAATTTGATATTTTAAAAAGAAGGGGGGGGCACCAATTGCTTGTCCCAGTACCAAAAAGTCAGCCCTGAAAACATAAATACAAGGAACATTATACAGACTGAGAAGGTTATATTTATGTACATACTTATGTACATATTTACATGCTTATAATCATGTAATAACAACTAGTGAAAAAAGAGGCCACGAATTTGAAGAAGAATAGGAAGAGGTATATGGGATGGTTTGGAGGAAGGAAGGGGAAATGGAGAAATGTAATTGTAATCTCAAAACCAAAAATTTAAAAATATATATCTGTTATATTGTGAATTGTTTTACTTAGTACAAAATGACACCCATTGTTACTTGGTACTTAGTAAATATTCAGTACAAAACAAAACAAACAAAAATCTCAAATAAGTAAGACATTCTCTTGTTGAAAAAGCAAGAAAACCAAAGAATCTCTAGAAAATTAGGAGTAAAAAAAATGCTTCAAAAACTCTATTGATCAGATATAATTGCTATAAATGGATTGGTGTTGAAGCCTTTAATTTTATATATTTAAACATATCTGGAGTCATGCTGAGGGCCTATTACCACTTTTCTACATCAAGATAACATATGGGTTTCTCATTAAATCAAAATTGTTTGAAAAAATTGTATTATCTGTAGAATATTTTGTCCATATGATTTCTTCAGTTTTTCTGTAACATTAAGAGTGGAAAACTGTTCTAAAAGCAAAAAGAATACAAAGTGATCGAATGTTTAGTAATTTAGAAAGACTTGAATGTAGAGCTGTCTGTGTTTACTTTGCCCTCTCACTTCAAGACATCAAGGTCTCAACAGTGTGTGTGTGTGTGTGTGTGTGTGTGTGTGTGTGTGTGTGTGTGATAGGAAGGTGTGTGTGTCGATGAGCTCACCCATGCAAGACTTGTGAAAGCTAGAGGTTGACATCAGGATCTTTCATGAATTCCTTCCCCACTTTAAGTTTTTGAGTCAGGGTCTCTTGCTGAACTTGAAGCTTAGCTAGATTCACTAGCTAGCAGGCTCATGGGATTCTCCAGCAGGAGGATACAGGCACACACTGTTGTGCCCACATTTTAGGTGGGTCATGAGGATCCAAACTCAGGTCCTCATACCACACTGCACCCACAGAAACACATCCCCAGCTGTTAACAGGATCTAGAAAAGAGAGAACAAGTAGAAACTGCTTTCTTCAAATGAGTGTCTGTGAAACAGGTTTTTATTTTTTTTTCAGAAGAAGAAGAAGAAGAAGAAGAAGAAGAAGAAGAAGAAGAAGAAGAAGAAGAAGAAGAAGAAGAAGAAGAAGAAGAAGTAGTAGAAGAAGAAGAAGTAGAAGAAGAAGAAGTAGAAGAAGAAGAGGAGTACAAATACTGAGTTATTGCAAGTACTACTGCAGGGCATTCAACTCTCAGGTTTTTTTTTTTTTAACTCTGGGCTGTCTCCTGAGGTATGAATATATAACCCCTGATTATTTGTAAACTCCCACTTAGGATAGTTTGGACATGATTTGCAAATCCATACGTCTTTGGAGGCTGGTGTGAATTTGATTCCCCAAACACCTTGGCATGAACAGACCCATAGTGAGATCTTTCTGGATTTACAGTACACCATTGGAGGCTGAAAAGTGATTAGAGAGATGCAGTCTGTGAAGGACAGCCTTGCTCTGTCTAAAAATGCTCTGCTGTCTCATTGACAGCCTGAGATAATTCAGTTCCTTGGGATCTTCACAGCCAGTGCACAGGTGACAGCACCAACCTATGGCTAAATGGGATTCTTTTTAAAATTTTTAAGCTTTGCATCTTGCTCACATAATGATTCGGGGCCTCTTGAGGGAGTCTTGTGCAGCTTTTGAATCTGTGACTGAGTCCCTGGCTGCCAGCAAAATGTACTGAGACCACTTCAGTTGTTCCAACCAATCATGTAATTCATTTGAGCTTTCCTTAGTCCTGATACTTGATCAATGGGGGAAGAATACATCTCTCTAAATTATAAATCTAAAGGAGCTAGAAGAAAACTCGTAAGATTATGTTTTTTCTGGCAATACAAGAAATGAATGTTAGTGCTTTTAACCTGAGTAATAAAGAACAGCTTTTCTGATTATAAACACTCAATAATGGGCTGGAAAAGTTAAAGGCATGGTTAGTTACAGCTTAATTTAAAACTGCATACATGCAAAAGACCAGACAAACGTATACATATGCTCCTGAGCCATGATATTCTTTGAGTAAAACAAAATTTACAGTGTGGCTTTTGTCTTCTCTGCAATATTTCTGTCTGAAAGGAGAGAGGCAGTCCTGTGTGGGAGCCCTCACCCTCACACTGAACGCTCAGGACAATTCAGGCTGGGATTTCCCAGCATATGGCAAATGGAATGCTTTTCTAGACCGCTGATAACTCCATATCCAAAGCAGGACTGTGAGAACTTGTAACAAGACCTCACAAAACAAAAGTATCTGAGGTTCTTTATTCTTCCCTCCTCAGAGGACAGCCTTCAACTTCAGTGTGCCAATGAGATACCTAAGATTTGTCCTTGACACAGCAGCCTGTCTAGTGAAGGCGGGGTTTGTAAATCAGGGCAAAGTTGCAACTAACGACTGCATTTCCTTTCCAGTAAAATGAAACTAGTAATGTGATTCTACAAGAGAATACTGAGGAAGTTTTAAAACCAGTCAAGCAGAGTGAACAAAAAGCCAGACCAGTGCCTTCTGATAGATAAGAGGTAAGATGTTGGATCCATGCTTTTACTGGGTATCCGCCACTTTGGCAAAAAAAGGCAGGGTGGAGGACATGGGGAATAAATGCTAAAGAGTGTGTGTTTGGATATCCAGTGTAGAAGAATTTTTACAAGGCCCTAACGGTCTCTAATATTCCAATCAGCTTTCATTTCTCTATTTTGTAATTAGAGCAGCATAAAGAGGAACTGATGGTTTTTAGGACAACTGTAGAAATTTCTATTTCAGCACCTGCTTTCTTTCCTGTCTTTCTGCTTGCCCCAGTCGTGTTGGTGAATGCTTGGGGCTGGAACATGGCAGGAACTGTCTGCACCATGAAAGGTTTCATGGCCCTGGCCATCATCTGGACCATGGCAGCACATGCTGAAACAGACAAGCCTCTCAGAGAGCCAGCTAAGACTGGATTCCAAACATGCAAGGATGCCTTAAAACTACCTGTCTTGGAGGTCCTACCTGGAGGTGGCTGGGATAATCTGAGGAATGTAGACATGGGACGCGTGATGGACTTGACATACACCAACTGTAAGACGACAGAGGATGGACAGTACATCATCCCTGATGAAGTCTTTACCATTCCTCAGAAAGAGAGCAATCTGGACATGAACTCAGAAATCCTGGATTCCTGGGTGAATTACCAGAGCACCACCTCATTTTCCATCAACACAGAACTCTCCCTTTTCTCCAAAGTCAATGGCAAGTTCTCTACTGAGTTCCAAAGGATGAAGACCCTTCAAGTAAAGGACCAAGCTGTAACCACCAGGGTTCAGGTAAGAAACCTGGTCTACACAGTCAAAAACAGCCCAACTTCAGAACTGAGCTTGGGGTTTACGAAGGCACTTATGGACATCTGTGACCAGCTAGAGAAAAATCAGACGAAGATGGCCACCTACCTGGCAGAACTGTTGGTCCTTAACTATGGCACACACGTAGTCACTAGTGTGGATGCTGGGGCTGCACTGGTTCAGGAGGACCACATAAGGTCCTCCTTCCTCCTGGACAATCAGAACAGCCAGAACACAGTAACTGCCTCTGCTGGGATTGCCTTCTTAAACATCGTGAACTTCAAACTTGAGGCGGACTACACTTCCCAGAATGCTTTGACCAAGAGCTATCTTTCTAACAGAACCAACTCAAGGGTGCAGAGCATGGGTGGGGTTCCATTCTACCCAGGCATCACCTTAGAAACCTGGCAGAAAGGCATCAGTAACCACCTGGTGGCAATAGACCGTGAAGGCTTGCCTCTGCATTTCTTCATCAAGCCTGACAAACTGCCTGGCTTGCCAGGTCCCTTGGTGAAGAAGTTGTCGAAGACAGTGGAAACTGCAGTGAGACACTATTACACTTTTAACACTCACCCTGGCTGCACAAATGTTGATTCCCCCAATTTCAATTTTCAAGCCAATATGGATGATGGCTCCTGTGATGAGAAAGTAACCAACTTCACCTTTGGTGGAGTTTACCAGGAATGCACTGAACTGTCGGGAGATGTTCTTTGCCAAAACCTGGAGCAGAAGAATCTGCTCACTGGTGATTTCTCCTGTCCCTCTGGCTACACCCCTGTCCATTTGCTGTCTCAGAACCATGAGGAGGGTTACAGTCGCCTGGAATGCAAAAAGAAATGCACCCTCAAAATCTTCTGCAAGACAGTGTGTGAAGATGTCTTCCGAGTGGCCAGGGCTGAATTTAGGGCTTACTGGTGTGCAGCCACTGGCCAAGTACCTGAAAACTCAGGACTTCTCTTTGGGGGAGTCTTCACTGACAAGAGCATCAACCCCATGACAAATGCACAGTCATGCCCAGCCGGCTACATTCCACTGAGCCTGTTTGAGAACCTCAAGGTATGTGTTTCTCTGGATTATGAGTTGGGGTACAGGTTTTCAGTCCCCTTTGGTGGATTCTTTAGCTGTATAATGGGGAACCCCCTGGTTGATTCTAATACATCCAAAGATATAGGAGCACCATCTCTGAAAAAGTGTCCTGGGGGCTTCAGCCAACACCTAGCCGTTATCAGTGATGGATGCCAAGTGTCCTACTGTGTCAAGGCTGGAATCTTTACAGGAGGGTCTCTGCTTCCTGTAAGGCTCCCACCTTATACCAAACCACCCCTCGTGAGCCAAGCTGCCACCAACACCGTTATAGTGACCAGTAGTGAGACTGCCAGATCCTGGATTAAAGACCCCCAGACCAACCAGTGGAAGCTAGGAGAGCCACTGGAGCTGCGGAGAGCCATGACAGTCATCCATGGGGACAGCAGTGGTATGTCAGGGGGAGAAGCTGCTGGAATCACTTTGGCAGTCATCATGGCACTAGGGGTTGTCATTGCCTTGGCCATCTACAGTACCCGGAAGTACAAGAAGAAGGAATACCAGGCAATTGACGAGCGAGAGAGTTTGGTTGCAAGTTTAGCAACAGATGCATCATCAGTCTCTAATGAAGAACACGATCCAAGTCCAGCTTAATTGTCTCCAAGGGAAACAGTCTCTGTCATATCCAGCTTCAAGCACACTTTTCACTCAGTTTTCTCTTCCGCATTCCAAAATACTGAAGTGACAGCTGCAACAGAAAGCAGGTATCACAGCTGTGGGACTTCTTGTCTGCACCAGGAAATTAAAGGAGGTTTAGGGGAGGGGGTGATCCATTCAGAAAAAGCTGGACTGGGACCAAGGCATGAAGGGGGTGCATATCCATTCTCAGAACTGTCTTTACCTGAATGCATGTGTACGAAAAGGAATGTGGAGACTGCATTTGGAGATTAGCAATTTAGTCTGAAGTCAAAAGGCTTTCCAGTTTGTGAACGGAAGGGTTTCATGCTCTAAGTACCTCATTACTTCTATTTTGTTCGTAAAGAAGCTCTCTGGGTTTCACAACCAAGAAGCAGACATGACCCTGAAATGCCACAGGAGGTCTACACAGCCACTACCCTTTAGCCTTAAGGACTCTGTGTTAATTTACAGATTTTCCTCTCCCAGAGTCATCTCACAGGCATGCTAGGGGCTTACACAAATTCCATTTTCTCCAACTGCCCCACAATTAGGATTTAGTCTATATCAGTCTTGGGCTTCTGAACAGTGTTAACAAGTCCTCAGAAAATATTTTAACTTACAGTTTTCTGTTAGGGGATGAGTGATGAAGAAACTGTAATGAAACGAGTAATAAAGCCTGGGGTTCTGGAGACGATGCTACTATTCCAGAATTGAATTCTTAGATCTGTCAACTAATAGCCATTATAAACGAGGAACTAAGTGGAGCTGTACTTTGGATAGATCAAGCATTATGGTTCCATGTTCATATTTCAAATGTATAACCCCTTCCCCTCTCTCTCCTCTTCATCCTTCCTCTGTAGCCTTCATTCTTCTCTCTCCTTCACCCTTCCTATCTCTTTCTCCTTCCCGTCTGCTCATCACAGGTATGGGTACAAACACAGAAACATCCCCTATATTCCAACAAGAAGCTTTTATTTTCCTAGTGGTGAAAAAAATGCAAATGTAACTTACAGTTTTCTGTTAGGGGATGAGTGATGAAGAAACTGTAATGAAATGAGTAACAAACTAAGGATAAAGCCTGGGGTTCTGGAGACGATGCTACTATTCCAGAATTGAATTCTTAGATCTGTCAACTAATAGCCATTATAAACGAGGAACTAAGTGGAGCTGTACTTTGGATAGATCAAGCATTATGGTTCCATGTTCATATTTCAAATGTATAACCCCTTCCCCTCTCTCTCCTCTTCATCCTTCCTCTGTAGCCTTCATTTTTCTCTCTCCTTCACCCTTCCTTTCTCTTTCTCCTTCCCGTCTGCTCATCACAGGTATGGGTACAAACACATAAACATCCCCTAAATTCCAACAAGAAGCTTTTATTTTCCTAGTGGTGAAAAAAATGCAAATGCCAAGATAAGCCCCCATTTAAGTATTACTTATTCCCTGAAACTAAAACTATACAGAAAGCATCACCTTCTGTCCCTTTAGGCTTTGCTGGTTTTCACTGCTAGAAGCAGGGCTGATGTGACAAAAAGTTATGTCATTAAGTTAACTGGAAAAGGCATCCAGAACCCCCTGTGACATTTATTTCAACTACAGGATGGCTTCCATGGGGCATCTCTGTCAGAAAAAATGATTGACACCTGGCAGTAGTTGGGGTTTTGCTCATTTTTAAGATCGAATTTAATTCTCTACAACATAGAAATTCCCCCACAGCTGCTTTAGAAATTATGAGTCCATTCACCACAGCACACCATCACTGGGCTATTGTCTGTGGAAGATAATGTGTTCTCTCCTTAATGTTGACAAACAAGGGCCTGTGCACACAGTAGGCTCTTCTGAAGAGCTCCAAGCGTCTCAGCCCCTGGGGATGTGGGAAGAATTACTCATCCATTTCCAGCTGAGATACAGGTAGGAGTGAACAGCTGAGTTTGAACTACTACTGCCCTACTGCCCAGACAAGGGGTTGGTCCCATAGCCTCCTTCACCAAACCTGCCCTTTTCAGTATTAAAGTGTGCCCTGTGGGTTCTGAGTGAATTCTGTAATGTTTCAGTCAAGCTAACAACTTTCTTTTTCTTTTATGTATCCAACAGCCACTTTTATTTTATGCATGAATAAATATACTACCACAGCATCTTTGTGGAAAGTTAGCCAGTTTTTCAAACTTTCTTTTTGTCTATTCTGTGTCTTTTACATCATGGTATCCTGATCCCATTGATTTCCCCATCCCTTTGCATCTGCCCTCAGCCACTGCACCCCCATCCAAAATAAAACAAGATTTTAGAGGAAAAAAAGGAAAAAATAAAAAAATCTTGTCATGAAAGCTGCAGTGTGACACGGTGAGTAAGGCAGTAAATGCCTTTGTCTGTGTATCTTTACTTGTAAGTGTTCATTGGAGAGAGTTATTGTCTGGTTCTTGGCCCAACCTATCTATGATCTGCTAGAGCATGTAAAGGGACCTTACCCACAGACCCAAAGTAGCAGGATCTCAACACACGGCCTCTGGTTTCTACTACTCGAAACAGCTTTTCCTGTGTAAATTCTCTATAAGATTTCCTGAGTCTGCAAGGCAAGGCACAGGAGGCTCCTAGATCTTAGTGCACAAACTTCCTATTGAAAATTTAAAAATGTGTTCCATAAACACGCAGTTCTACTAACAAAAAGGTGTGTAAATATACATTAAAATGTGTACTCAGCAACACTCTGTGTGGGTATTCATCTGCAGTTCAGTGAAGCACTTGCTATTTAATCATGAGAATCTGAGTATTTATCCCCAACATCCATGTAAAAGATGTATGGTAGCATGAACCTGTGACACCAGCACTGACAGGTAGGGACACATGGAACTTGGGGCTCACTGGTCAGCCAGCCTATCCTAACCAAAATGGTAATTTTCAGGTTCATTGAGCTAACCCTGCCCAAAAGATAAGGCAGAAGGTAGTAGAGGAAGATACCTGATGTCAACCTTTGACCTCAGTATGTGTGTACAAAGATCAGCACACCCCCACACACACACACACACACACACACACACACACACACACACACACACACACATCTTCTCACACGCATGCATTCCCTTACACACAATGCATCCCTCACACACACTCATGCATTCCCTTACACACAAGAAGCCAATGTCCATGCTTTTCAGGATAGCTTTTCCCAGCCAAAGTTCACATCCTTATTTCCTTTGCCATGTGTGGCTGTCTCTTTGAGGGGAACCCAGAGTCAAGATAGGTCAAATGTGTGGGTAGGGCAGAAGAGATGTGGAAAGTTTTAGAAAATAAAGGGGTTTTCCCTGTCTCTAGCTAGTTGGATTGAGGTTGCCCACACATAGAGGAAGTAACCCACGTGCTTCTGAGACAGGTGCCAAAGCACTTCTACAAAAGCAGGCCCTTAGGAGTAACAACAATTTGTGCTTGTTCATTTGCAGTTTATTGTTCTGCACATACACCTCATGAGCACCAGGGGGCGATGTCCTCTCGTAGAACAACACCAAGAACTTGAAATCACAGCAGTTACAAACAGAACACCTGACATCTGGACATTCACCAACCCTCTCCCAGAAACCCTCAGTGATATAAGTGACCACCAACAAGCAAAGGGGGCAGTGGTTGTTTCTTGAGCCATGCCAGCCTTCTCCCAAACCTCTCATGCACGCAACAGTGCAGTGCCAGGGCAAGTACCTTTGACCAAGTTTAAAACCACAGAGAAGTCAGAATCTTACAAAAATGAGAGGGGAATGGAAACACAAAGGCACAGACAGCCACAGGTATAGCACAGAACTTCAAGGGATCAGCATCTCACAAGGTGTGTCTCCAATTCCATTGTCATCCCTGGAGTCTCAGGGGGGGAGAACATAGCTGCTGGTGCTGAGACTGTGAAAGGAAAAGCATGGGAACCCTGCTTGGCCCAGCACAGCACATTGGGGCTTCTCTTGGGGGAAACACCCTGGGTCAAAGTAGCTGGTAGCCTGGGCCCAATCTCATTGAAATCATTCTGTGTCTTTTTGTGTTGGCACAAGAGGAAGAGCAAGGCACTAGCCATTGCTTTGACTGACAGTAGTATATGCTGTTGAGAATTCCAAGGTTTCTTCAGCCCAGAAAGTTGAAAGAGTGAAAGATGAGGGTGAGGTAGCCCCTCTGAGCATCTTCAGAGAAGAAGGAAATGAGGCATAGATATCTCAAAGTTCTCTGTGGAAATTCCTGAAGGCATGAAGACTAACTCTCACAGTATTGTTTTGTTTTCTTTTGCTTTTTCCAAGAGCAATCATCCCTTAGATGTCCTCTTGGGTCCCGTTTCTTCTGCCTCATGCTACCCCTTTCCTCTGCCTTGTGAGAATGCCCCCCCCCAAAACTGCCCATTTCCACATCTTGGAGCCCATTTTCATTTCTTTGCTTCCCACTGCCTCATTTTCCTACCCATGGACTCCCATGTATCTTCTCATCCCTGTTGCCAAGAGCAGGGCAAGTAGGTAACAAGGACACTGAAGGCAAAAAATGACTGTAAGCCCTCAATGAGGCTCTGATAGTTTCTGAAATGTGATAGCCTGATAAAAGGCATGGGCATGACTTTAAATTCCATGGCATATGCCTTCCATTTAGTTCTGACGCTTCTTTCTCTATTGTGGTAGAAGCCTTCCCCAAGGCTCAAGGTTCTCAGCAGTCTCCTGGTCCGATAGTGAGACAAAATGGCCTCCTACTGATAGAAGGGCTTGGACTAAGATGGCAGAACAGTCTCTTCTACCACAGCTCCCCCTAGTGGGAAGCAATTAAAGTTTCATTAGCCATTTGTAGAGTGAAAGAAAATTCAGCACCAGCATGTTCCAGGGAACTGGGTGGGGAGCACTGGAGTGATTCTGGAGGCTCAAAAAGAGCAGTGTGTTGTAAAAGTGTGGACTCCAGTTCTAACTCAAGTACCTTGTGGAAGGTTTTTTATTCCCTCCCCTCTCTCTTTTTTCCTTCAAGCATCAAAATCTTTCAAATCTTACGAATGATATATATACATATATATATATAT